AGAGAGAGAGAGAGAGAGAGAGAGAGAGAGAGAGAGAGAGAGAGAGAGAGAGAGAGAGAGAGAGAGAGAGCTGTCTTCGTTTCTGTGGTACGATCTGTGTTCGTCGTCGTTCTGTGCGATGGCAATGGCGGCCTCGTTGGGTGTCGGAGAAAGAAGGAGAAGGAGACGAAGAGGGGAAGGAAGATGCAATCTCCAAGGCAGCAGCAGCAGAGGAGGAGAATGGAATGCTCACCAGGTCGGCGGCGCCATTCCCGGGGTGAGGCGGTTGTTTCGTGATGACGATTGGTGGATGATTATTATGTCGGTGGCGGTATCTTTTTGCTTTATTCTGTTACATTTCCCCGAACCGTCGTATGCTGGTGCTTTGTCAGGCAGCATCGACGTGAGCACTATCAACTCGTTCATGAATCTCAGCTGCGGCTCCGTTGGCCACAATGTGATTGCTCTCAAGTCTTATCTCTACAGATATGGTTACCTCCCCTCATCATCAACTAGGGGAAGTATAGGATCATCGGCTACACCGACCTCCATCGCCGCTATGATTGGTGGGTACGAAGAGGGTGTGGAGGCGATACCCTCCTCCTCCTCCTCCTCCTCCTCCTCTGCTACGATGCCATCATCTTCCTTGTTATCGGTAATACCGATGGCGTCTGAATCTTCATATTTGCGAGGAGGAGGAGGAGGAGGAGGAGGAGGAGGAGGAGGAGGATGGGGAAGAGGTGGTGGAGGGAGTCTTAGCGGAGAGGCCATGTTCGATGCAGCAACTCTGTATGCTCTTCGCAAGTACCAACGGTTCTTTGGACTGAATGCGACGGGATGGGTTGATCCGAATACCCTCCTCCAAATGAGGAAACCAAGGTGTGGGTTTCCTGATATAGTCCCAGATTCCCAATCGGACAACGTGTCGCCGCAAGAGGGTGACGTCATGGACTACAGGTTCTTCCAAGGCAATCCCAAGTGGATGAAAACCGACATCTCCTTCTTCATTAGGCGGCCGCTGACTCCTGATACAGATGTTGATGGGATGGCAGCAGACGCGATCCGAAGGGCATTCCGGACGTGGGCCGCCGTGGTGCCGCTGAACTTCACCGAGGTATTAGACTCCGAGTCGGCTGATATCAAGGTCAGCTTCGAAGAGGGGGAGCATGACGACGCCTACCCCTTCGACGGACCCTTAGGCGTTCTGGCCCATGGGTTTAAACCCCCGTACGGGTTGCTTCATTTCGACAGGGCGGAGACGTGGGTGGGTGACGTGTCCGGTCCGGGGGTGCCGGCGACCGCCTTCGACGTCCAGACGGTCGCCGTCCACGAGCTCGGGCACGTGCTAGGCCTCGGGCACACCAACATGCCCGACGCCGTGATGTACCCGACCATTGACGCGCTGCAGGAGAAACGCTCCCTCGATCTGGACGACATCTTCGGGATCCGGACGCTGTACATGCGCAGCAACGCGGATGACACCTCCGTCTCGTCGTCGCGATCCCGACCGGCGGCCTCGGAGATCAATTACGTCTGCGAATGCTCGGCCTTGGAGAACGGACTGTACCCGTTTCCAGGGAACAACCTCGACTGCCGACGCGGCTGCCTGTGCATGGAACACCAGGAGACGGTGCTCCTCTGTCCCGGCGACACTCGTCTGGCTCCTGACAGCCTCTGCTACAGTCCCGACTTGTTTGTCGGGGCCTGCCATCTGACGACCACGGCCGCTTGGGGCAGCAACCTGGAGCAGGCCGGGGCGCGCCTTAATCGCACCGCTGTGGCAGTCACAACTGACGAAGCCGTGAAGCCGCAGATCGAGCACGTTGCCTTGTCGACGAATAGCGATGGCAGCGAGGAGGAGGGGGGGGGCGAGAAAGATGGGAGAATCAGTAACGGGGATGGAAACTTCTGGGCATATCAGAGGGGTATCCTCGTCTACGCAGTCATCGCGTTCCTTGCTCTAGTCCTCTTCTCTCGAGTGCTTTGCTACTTTACAGACAGATTCAAGAAGGACAGAGACAAGAAGACCTATGAAAACCGAGGAGGGCATTGTACTTGCCACGTGGGCGCCTTTCCACCCTGCGATTGCGATGTCGTTAAGGCTGTTTGATCCGTCCGAACGATCTAGTTTAGTCGATCAAATGTTAATCAATCAATCAATCAATCAATCAATCAAACAATCAATTAATTAATCAATCGATCAATCAATCAATTTATTTATTAATCAATCAATAAACCAATCAATCGATCAATGGGTTGGTAGATCAAGTAAATCAATCAGTCAATCAATCAATCAATCAATCAATCAATCAATCAATCGATCGATCGGTCATCAGCTGACCGACCGCTCGGTTTTTGCTTTTTTTGACCGGAATTGAACAACCGAAAGTAATCATAGATCTCGACCGATCGACCAATGATTAGTCGATGTTGCTGAATGAATGGACTCATCGTCCGCACGTCGTCTCGGCCTGCTTTCAAACGCTTAACGATGAGGGTGCACGTGTACTGAAGCAAAAGGCAAGTGTTTGAAGACTCCTCCCCCTCCCCTTCGCCGCCTGAATGAGCTTCGTGGTTGCCTGCATTGCATTGCGCGCCCGTTCGGTGACAGTGAAGTTTGACATTACCGAGGATTTTGGTTTGTACCCCCTATTTAACGAGAATGGATCGATCGATCAAACAGTCAATTAATCAATCAACCGATCAATCGATGAATGAGGTTTAGATCGATCCGTTAATTGATGGCAGCAGGTGGTGTAAGGTCGTTTATCCGATCAGATCGATCCCTGAATAGGAGGATTGGCTGCTTCTTTTTCACGATCCTCGATCCGTCGACGAGGGACAGATCTCGCGCTCTCTCTCTCTCGCGCTTCTCTCTCTCAACCGCTCGATCAACCGACCAATCAATCAATCAATCAATCAATCAGTCAACCAACCAACCAATCAATCAATGAACTTTGATAGATCGATCGATCCGATCGATAGAGACAGATCTATCGATCCGATTGATAGACAGTCTCTCTCTCTCTCTCTCTCTCTCTCTCTCTTCTCTCTCGCTACGGCTCGATCAATCAATGCATCAGTCAATTAATCAATCAACCAATCAATCAATCGAGCAATCAATGAATTTGATAGACATCGATCGATTGATCGATCTGATTGATAGAGACAGATCGATAGATCGATCCGATTGATGGAGACAGATCGATCGATCCGATCGATAGACAGTCTCTCTCTCTCTCTCGCTTCTCTCTCTCTACCTCTCGATCAACCAATCAATCAATCAACCAATCAATCAATCAACCTGTCAATCAATCAACCTATCAATCAATCAACCTATCAATCAGTCAACCTATCAATCAATCGACCATTCAATGAATTTTGATAGACAGATCGATCGATCGATCGATCTGATTGATAGAGATAGACAAATCGGTCGATCGATCTGATTGATAGAGACAGATCGATCGATCGATCCGATTGATAGGCACAGATCGATCGATCCGATTGATAGACAGATTGATCGATCTGATTGATCGATCTGATTGATAGAGACAGATCGATCGGTCGATCCGATTGATAGGCACAGATCGATCGATCGATCCGATTGATGATCGATCGATCGATCTGATTGATAGAGACAGACAGATCGATCGATCGATCTGATTGATAGAGACAGATCGATCGATCGATCCGATTGATAGGCACAGATCGATCGATCCGATTGATAGGCACAGATCGATCGATCCGATTGAGAGACATTGATCGATCTGATTGATAAAGACAGATCGATCGATCGATCCGATTGATAGACAGATTGATCGATCTGATTGACAGAGACAGATCGATCGATCGATCCGATTGATAGACAGATTGATCGATCGATCCGATTGATAGACAGATTGATCGATCGATCCGATTGATAGACAGATTGATCGATCGATCTGATTGACGGACATGGGTTGATAGATCTTAGTCATTCCAAATGTAGATCGATTAATCGATCGGAAAATTGCGACCAATGGATCGATAAGTGAGTTGACAGGAGTCGATCGGTCGATTGATTGATTTAGAATCATCACCTGATCGAGCCCCGGAGTCTATCTAGTGGAACGAAATCGAGTTTCAGTTGATTGATTGATTGATTCGTTGACGAGTTAATTGGTGATGTGGTATCTAATGACCAATTCCTTGATTTGGTAGGTCGCCATTCGATGAAGCTGATTGATTGATCGATCGATGAATTGAACGACTGAATGAAATGAAAACGATGCAACAGTTATACATCAATTAGATTGATTGATTGATTGATTAGTTAATCAACCGACAAATCACGCGGAGATAGGTGACCCTATTGTTGATCGACGGATCGTTCGGTTGCTTTGTGGTTTAATCTTATTCTTGAGTCTGATCGACGGATCGTTCGGTTGCTTTGTGGTTTAATCTTATTCTTGAGTCTGTAGAGGACAAGGGAGGAGGAGGGAGGAGGGGGTATATGGGGGATGGAGTTGTGCGCATCGCCATGTTCTTTTCGGTATGCATGTGTATATATAGAATCCACGTAGGACAGGGTTTTTTGAGTGGGTATTGCTCGGTAATTGGTATTGAGGGCGAGGTCCTTCTCCTTACTTAGTTGCCGCCTATCCACTCTCTCTCTCTCTCTCTCTCTCTCTCTCTCTCTCTCTCTCTCTCTCTCTCTCTCTCATCCGATGTCGCCGCCGTTAGGTGGGGTGGTTGGGTGGGTGATGCTCCAAGCATCACACAGCACCGGGCTTTTCTTAAATGGAGTGTATTTATTTAAGGAAAAACAGTTATTCAGAATCGCGAGGGTGGGTGGTTTCTCTCTCTCTCTCTCTCTCTCTCTCTCTCTCTCTCTCTCTCTCTCTCTCTCTCTCTCCTCTCTCTCTCGCTCTCTCTCTCTCTCTCCGTGTCGGTCTCGCTCTCTCGGTCCTTCTCTCTTTTTCTCTCTCACACACACACGCACACCCACGCCCACACCCACACCCACGCTCACCCTCGCTCTCTCGGTCCTTCTCTGTCTTTCTCTCTCTCTCACACACACACGCACACCCACACCCACACCCACACCCACACCCACGCTCACACTCTTGTCTCTTTCCGTGTTTCTCTCTGCTTTTCTTTGAGTAGTCTTTCACCAAGGATGAGTGACGAAAAGGGAAAAACGAAGCAGCAGCATATTGATTATGGAGCGTGGAGTATGTGGAGGTGAAAATGGGAGAAGGATGTTGAGAAGAGATTCTGAGTCGCGGCGGCATGGCGGATCGGTTTGGGTGAAGGCTCGCTTCGGACTCTCGGTTCAGGCTCGGTTCAGGCTCGGTTCAGGCTCGGCTGTGTGTACGGGACAAGCAGCGGCGGCGGCGGGTTTTTTTTTTTTTTTCCCTTTTTCTCTGACAAGGATGGAGAGCCAGCGCGCCTGGAACGAGCTGATGGCAATGATAACCGCGGCGGTGGACACACGTGGAGTGACCGCGGGGGGTGGGTGGTTTCTCTCTCTCTCTCTCTCTCTCTCCTTTTCGACGTGGCAACATATGCTGCGATTGTGTTACGCGCGCGGCAGGCGTCTGACGTGATTGCTTGTGATTGCATCTGATTACTTTCCGGATGAGATGGCGGCAGCAGGCAGTACCCAAGCGTGTATCTGCTGACGGAGGTAGCCACGTGGCAGGCAAACGCACGGGTCCCGGGTCACGTGGCTGGAAATCGACGACGAACATGTGGAACAATCAGCGCGCACGCTCTCTTCTGCTGACGTGGCAGGCAACGAGTCTCTACCGGGTGTTTCCGCTGTGACCGTCTGAGTTGATGCCACGTCATCCGATTTTGCACTCCTGCAGGACCAGTAGCAGCAATCTGGAGGGGGGCCATCTGATCTCCAGCGCGTGGAAGAGGAATCAGCGCGCGACCGGGTCTTTACGGCGGGGCCATCTTACTGAGTCGATGCTTTGACGACGGCCGCCCGATCCGCGAGATGCTTAGACCACGCGCGCTCTCTCCTGTGCTGAGCAGCAGCGATCTGGCGGCCGCCGTCGAAGCATCTTGTTGTGTGTTTGTTCTCTGCAGTTTTTGTCATCCGTACAACGGTCGGGATCGGTGCCTGGGTCTCCCCATGTGTTTAGATGAAAGCTGTTGGCAGCAACTGACGTGGCATCGGGATCCCTGTCGCGATATGAAAGCAGATCAGCAATCGAGACCAGAATCTGGTCACCGCGCCGTGTGGACTGTTGACGTGGGGTCGGGATCCCTGGGGACAGTAAAGCACAGCAGTCGAGATGGGGTGGTCGCAATCTTGTCGCCCGAGAGGTCTGACGTGCTGACGTGGCATCGGGATTCATATCGAGATGAAAGCAGCAGCGATCGGGACCGGGTGTCTCGATCTTGTTGTGGAGTGTTGACGTGCCATCGGGATCCCTGCCGAGCTGAAAGCAGCAGCGATCGACACCGGGTGTCTCGATCTTTCTTGGATTCCTTTTTTTTTTTTTTTTTGTGGGTTCCTACGTGAGATGCCACTCGGAGCTCAATTTGGTGCGCTTTTTTT